TGCATCTGACTGACTTGGAAAGGTCCTAATTTTGTAATTTTATTCTGAAATTTTGAATTTCCATGTTCTCGCGCCAGTTTACCTTTAGCTCACATTTCCCCCTCGGGAAATCCTTAGCTGTCATAGGTTGATGTATTATTTTGGTATGGTATTTTTGTGGCTATCACAAGGGCGTTTCTATCATTTATAAATAAGCTCAATTTCTGTGCTTGTCAACGTCAAATTTTCTGGGTGCTTGTATAATACAGTTTCTACGCCTTATCAAGACTTCTTGATATAGTTAGCCCGGCTGGGGACAAACGGATTAGAATAGCCTGTAGTGTCACTGAGTCATTGCATTCGTCCTGTTTACAGAGTAAGGTGAACTCGTAATAGCATTCAAGCATATCATGTTCATTAACAGTTGTCTACACAAAATACTTCGGATTCGCTAGTCAGACACCATCAGCAACAACCTACTGTTGGAGAGAACAAATCAGATTCCAGTGGAGGAAGTTCTGACAGGAAAACACCCAACTGCGTCACAAGACAACCCTTCAGCTGGAATCACCAAGGTCAACAGAAAATAGGAATGGTGATGAACACATCGCGCCGAGAGATGGAGACGAATATGAGAAAAATGAACAATGATTGGATAGAACTAGAAAGGAAGGCCGAGGACAGAGTAGGTGGAAGATAAAAACAGCTTTATTGAACCGATGTACGATATGGAATTCGCAGATGATCTGGCTCTTCTATCTCACACTCAACAACAAATGCAAGAGAAGACGACCAGTGTAGCAGCAGACTCTGCAGCAGCAGGTCTCAACATACATAAAGGAAAATTCAAAATTCTCCGATGCAACACAACATGCACCAACCAAATCACTCTTGATGGAGATTCCTTGGAGGATGTTAACACCTTTACATATCTGGACAGCATCATCGACAACCAAGGTGGATCCGATACAGATGTCAGGGCGCCGATTGGTAAGGCAAGGGGTGCATTTCTACAGTTGAAAAATATCTGCAACTCCAAACAACTTTCAACCAAAACCAAAATCACGATTTTCAATACAAATGTCAAGACAGTTCTACTGTATGGAGCGGAAACATGGAGAACTACCAAAGCCATCATCCAGAAGATACAAGTATTTATTAACAGTTGTCTACGCAAATTACTTCGGATTCGTTGGCCAGACACCATCAGCAACAACGACCTGTGGGTGAGAACAAACCAGATTCCAGTGGAGGAGGAAATCAGGAAGAAGTGGTGGAAGTGGATAGGACACACATTGAGGAAAGCACCTAACTGCGTCACGACACACGTCCTCACATGGAACCCTCAAGGCAAAAGGAAAAGAGGAAGACCAAGGAACGCATTAAGACGAGAAAAAGAGAAAGACATGAGAAGAATGAACAAAGACTGGAAAGAACTAGAAAGGAATGCCCAGGACAGAGTTGGTTGGAGAAAACTGGTGGGCGGCCTATGCTCCATTGGGGGTAACAGCCATAAGTAAGTAAGTATGTACGAGACACCTCAGCAAGAGCATGTTCAATACCCGTAAAGCAGGAGTCAAACTCAACAAGAACCACAATTTATGTATACATTATACAAACATTTTATTTTATACAACCATCTTTCTCTTTTATTTTCTTAGAAAATAAAAAAATTTGAGATGAATGCAGAGAAAATAATGATGTTATAAGTTGGTGCAGTATTGTTTCTATTTAGTTGCCATGACCAATTTTTCATTTACATCTTCTATTGCTGTGAAGCAGTTTTTTGTTCCTGCGAAGAATGGGTTTCGGAATCTGGAGGAGAATATAGAAACGGAAGTTGAATAAATATATATACATATATATGTTTAGTTCATAAACGGGTGAAATCAATATCGGGACTGAAAAGTCAGCTCTTCTTTTTTCTAAATGCTTTGAGCTATATGGTTCACGATCTCTTAACGTTGGTAGATACCGTCTCGCGAACCCCAACCAGATAGGTAGTCTACACTTACCAACATGACTGAGTCCACTTGTACATATGTACGAAGTTCCATAAAATCACTAACAAGTGGACTTAGTCATGTTGGTAGATTTAGGCTAACCTGGTTGGGGTTCGCGAGACGTAAGTCACCAACGGTTAGAGACCTTGAATAACATGGCTCAAAATCGTTTGCAATGGCGCAAAGGCATCCACTCTTCGTTTTCTCTCAAATCCTAACCCTTTGGATTCCTCATCACCTTTATCTTTTATTTCATTAGATACTACTTCCTGAATAAAATCGTCGAACCCTAATCTTTTCCATTGCCACAAATACTTCTACTATTTCTACTACAATGTGACTTGAAGTGACAATTGCATCTCCGTGCTAATGTGGTATGACAACTTGAACTGATGTACGTATGTATGAAGTTCTATGTTGCTGCTGTTGACCGATTGACTGTCCACTTATCAGTGACTTTATGGATTTCTGTGATGTTTTGGTTTGACCACTCCTAACTTTCTTCCAACCTACTCCTATATCGCAAAACATAGCTGGTCGAGGCAGTCGGTGATTGACCATTCGTAAACACGTGTCCCAACCACCTCGACTGATGAAGTTTCAATACTTCCATCTATTGACTTGTCACCCCTATCTAGAGTACTCGTTTCCTAACAACTGCTAAGCTGTTCGATTGTCCCAGGATATACACGAGCAATACTTCGAAGACACCCGTATATGGTCGAAAACCAGTAACCTATGCATATCCTAAACTCGTACTGGTCATGTTTCCCACCCATATAGTGAAACAGAGCGAATTGATGCGCAGTAGCATAGTAGTAGTCAAGAAACTCTAAATGCACATACTGTTTGTCAGTTTTTTTCAAGAAAAATAAAAAAAGACGTTTATTCATATGTACCCTAATAATAGTAGTATTGTTATGCACGAAAACTCAGTTGAGGACATCAATACATATATATTTAAGCGAATATTAAGCATATGTACAAAACCTTCTCGTGAAATCATCATTTACAAACTAATCCTTATTTCTGTTTCAGATTTCAGTGTTCTTCTTTCATTTAGACTGTTCAGACTTCAGTTCACTTTACGTTACACCTACAAATCGCGCCTTCTGTTCTCATTGTTTCCTTCTCGATCTTTTGTTGTCAGACGTTTAATTTCCGTTTGATATCATATACTACTTATGTGAACATAAGTAGCGCGTACACCACAGTATTACCTATTCATGTCAAATATCAAATCAAATCAAGTCACTTTGAACAAATAATCCTCCACTAATATATATATATATATATATATATATATATATATATATATATATATATATATATATAACCAACATATCTGTAACATTTTCAAATATCATAAACATTGTTGTTATAAATAAACAATTCATAAAGTGAATTAATGTAGTATACCTCATACTACTTACAAAAAAAAACTTTCTAATCCTACACATACATATAAATAAATAATCATGTACACTATTTATATACATAATATTATTGACAAATGATTATAAATGATAACATTATACCTGAGTAGTTACATGAAAAATGATTTAAAAATTCTGAAACATGTTCCGGATCATGTGTATTCATATAATCTAATGTAGATAAGAATGATGATTCATCTAGAGGAAATCGAGCATTGCCAATTAAATACATCAGGGAGATAGGTTTATTGATCTAAAAATTACCAATAACAAACAAACAAAAGAGATTTATGAATAACACTGACAATGACCGGAGGAAATGGAAAAACTAACGATGTATATATTGATGTTTTGGCTAACTTCGTTGTGTACAGTTATCAAACCAAAAATACATCGACAGAGGATGGTGAGTAGGTGTAGACAAGAAAAAAGTGCTATGAATAGGCTGCAATGAAGTAAATGCATCCTCGCCAATAGACCCTTCGGGGCTACTGCTGATCCCAAGTCCGGATAAAGGAGGAGGGTTTGGATTGAGGTTGGCGACCCAGTCCCGCAAAAAAAAACGTTAACAAGAAATAATAATTCAAACCATATAAACTCTGCTCTGGGAGTTAAAAAGTATTCTTTTAGAAGAGTTATGACGTCTCATGATGAAAGCCGGGTTCCTTCGAAAGTCAATGCCCCTTTTGACAACCAGAGCCCTTCCACAGTGTAAGTAGCCGGGAAGTAACATCCGCTGTCATATCCAAAAAACATACGAGACCGAATCGGTCACAATCAAATCCTTTCTACACCTCCTAATAACTCTCCTCGACCCCCCAACCAAAAAAACCAAGTCTAAATAATATTTGATAATTTTTATTTGGGGAATTTATTTCATGTTTTCGAACCATATTTCTGAATATCATGTGTACACTACTACAATTATTTCGACTACTTTCGTATTCATTGAAATGATGAACTGTTTGATGTTAGACCTCCATTGGGTATGTGGAAGAATCAGACGGTTATTTTGGTTTTACTATTAAACTAAATAGCAGTGCGCATCAACAAACCAGTAAGCGGGAGTCGAATGCGAGAATCCCTAACTTGTTGAGCAATGAGACGGTATCCAACGGTGTTAAGGTATTAAACTGGTTGGCTTTTTTACAGTGTGCTGAAATGAAACGTCATCTTGGGACAGCGCACATATGGAGCTGAACCATATCCAGTTAGATGCAGCTATACAGTGAAGATGAAATATGATCGTGTAATATTGTTATCTGATTAAATTTAGCTATATAACCCATTGGATGCTGGATCAAAGATCCAAATGTTTGACGATCGACGAGAGACCAGGTCTTGACTTCAATCAGCACTGCTGAAGAGTGGCATACTGAGACGAAACAGCTGTTCGATACCTTCTGAATTTTAATGGTCGTCTAACTCAAACGATGTAAATGACGATATTCAACCATCTCCAAACAATTATATTATTAAGTATCGTTTATAGTGTCGCTTCGAACTCTAACCTTCCAACAAGCTTTTTGTGTATTGCTTTATACTACTTGTTAATATTCAGTAGACAGTCGTAATTCAAACAATTTTTCAGCGTGTGTTGTAATCAATGTTTACTTGTTGCACGATATCTCAAAGTATTTACTTAAACTAATAACAATCATTGTATTCATTATTAAACATGCTTTATCTCCAAAGTTATATCAGTCAGCTCTCGAAAACATATATACAGGATGCGAGTAGCGTCATTCATCTTACCTAAAGAACCATTTCGTTTCACATTTCGTGTATCTGGCAGCCCTATTACTGCTTTCCATGGTCTGGCTGGTGTAGGTATAGCATTTAGTCCTAGAGAGGAACTAGCTCTCTAAGACTGGATTCCAATAAACAAATGCTTGTGCGCTGTCTGACAAAACGGGACAGAAACGACTCGGAAAGATAGGCATTCGCCGTCACCTTTTCGTCGTCTCTTTCTACGCTCCCACTGACTGATGCTCAGATGAAGTAAATATGAGTTTTATAGAAAGCTTTCCGACCTCCAAAAAGTTAGGCGCTCTGATGTATTAGTAGTAGTAGTAGTAATAGTTGGTGACTTCACTGTTCAAGTAGGTAAACTGGACGATAATGAAAGACACCTGGGAGGATCGTATGGTGTCGTGGCTCAAAGAACAGATAATAGCAATTGTCAGCTGCAACCATGCTCAGATAATCGCCTATTTCTAACAAACACTAACTTTACGAAAAACACCTTTTGACATGGAGACATCAATTGATTTGACATCGTTATCTAGTACCCATTTCCTAACAACTGCATTGCTTAATCGATGGTACTCGAATATATACGAAAAATGCTTCGAAGACATCGATGATCAAAAACCAGTAACCTATGAATATGTTCTACTCTTACTGGCCATGGTTTCATATCCGGATATCTCGCCTATACTATAAGGAGGGTCTAGTCTAGCCTTCTCTAACTGTGCTGAAATTTCATCACACACGATACCATCAGCACTGCTTCACTACTCTTTATCACTTAGTTCAGATACCGAACGCAAGTCAATCCCTGAAGCAACACCGACCATCGAAGAAGCTAGTCGTCAGTCATTAAGCATACATAACACATGTTAGATAGAGCTTTATTATGATTTAACATGATGACACCAGTTAGTTGAAGAAACAAATAAGTCAAAGTAGAATATAAAATTACTTACCGCATTCAAACGACTAATCTGATAATATAATCCACGATTAATTAGAACACCAGCTAATTGTGAAGCAATTGAACTATTCCCATTTTTCGAAACTTTATTTACTATTGTAATTACTAATAAAAATAAAAAGAGAAGACAGTAAGCAGATATATAAATAAAACAAATAGAATTTTTAAAAAAAAAACATGCCTACTTCAATATAACAATCATTAAGATATTATAACTCGAACACCACCACTGGTCGAGTGAGAGAATGTTCGGGATGCGATTCTCATCCCGGTCGAAATGCAAAATGTTGCTTCAAGATGGTTTACGGTTGCATCGGCATCTGAACTAGTAGTGAAAGGGAGTGAAGTAGACGAACGTGTAGACTGCTTCATTTATCTGGGGAGTCTTATCAGTGCTGATAGCCTGGTGACTGACGAAATCTCATGCTGGGATACAGAAAGCTCGATTGGTTTTTGCCAACCTGCGTCACTTATGGCGTAAGCGAGATAATCCGTTCACTGGTTAAAGGACGAGTGTACTGCGCAACAGTTCGCTCTGTCCTACTGTACGGATGCGAAACTTGGCCGTTAAGAGTAGAGGACTTTCGTAGGTTACTAGTATTCGATCATTGATGTCTCCGAAGCATTGCTCGTGTATCATGGGACAACCGTATAAGCAAGGCCGTCGTTACGAAACAAGTTTTAGGTAGGGATGGCAAATCAATAGATGAAGTAGTGAAACTTCAGGTGAGGTGGTTGGGACATGTATTAATTACGTATACCTAACCACCGACTGCCTCGACGACCTATGTTTTATAGTGTAGGAGTAGATTGGAAGAAAGCTCAAGGCGACCAAACCAGAACATGGCGGAAATGCATGAAGTCACTGACAAGTGGATTGAGTCATGTTGGTAGATGTAGGCTACCTGGTTGGGGTCCGCGAGACGAAAGTCACCAATGGTTCGGGACCTTGAACGATATGGCTCAAAATCGTTTGCAATGGCGCAGGTGCATCCACTCTTTGTGTTCTATGGAATTCTAAGCTTCTGCATTCCTCACAATCTCTACCTTTCTCCTTCTAAATCTATCTTACTGAATTAAACTTCTCGAATCATGTCTTCGCTCCCTAGTCTATTCCATTACTGCTAATACTTCTATTATTGCTATTACTCTTGGATTTGAATTGACAGTTGCGTCTCTGTGTAGATGGGGCATGGCAACCTGAACTGATGTACGAAGTTCTGCGTTGTATCTGTCTGCATATCATAACAATTTCCAGAATGAGGACTTTGAAAACCAAGTGAATTGTCGTCAGTCTTTTCAAAAAAAAATAGTTGAGATATGCTTTGTTACTTCTAAAAATTATAAATTTAGGTATTCGTATTTAAGTCAGTGTTATTTTGTTAGGGTTTAAGGTAACTTACTGGTGAAGACTATACAAATGAGATAAAGCATCGTTGTTTACAAATGAAACCTATGGGTTTAGGTTTAAGTGTCCTAGCAAACACATAAGTCAGTCAGCAGCAATATAGTTGACACACCATATTAGCACATAAAGATGCAATTGTCAATTCAAATCCCATAATGGTAGAGATAGTAGAATGATTAGCAGTAATCGGAAAGATTAGGGTAGAAAGAGATTATTCAAGAAGTATAATCTAGAGAAATAAATTTGAGAAGAGAAAGATGAAGATTATGAGGAATTCAGATTAGAATTTGGGTGAACACAAAGAATTGATGCATCTGCGTCATTGCGAACGATTTTGAGTCATGTGACCTGTAGCTTGTTCTGCTAACTTCGATCTTCATTGGTAGCAGAACAAGCTTCAGGTCAAACGTGGAGAAAGTCGAATACTCCACTTCTTCTATCTGAAGTTTGTGCTGATGATGTTGTTCAGAAGAAGAACAATGAAAGCTCCACAACCAAAACATCCCCGGTTCAGAGAACCAAATACCACCATAATCAAACACATGACTGAGAATCGTTTGCAATGACGCAGAAACATCAATTCTTTGTGTTCACCCAAATTCCTCATGACTTTCATTTTTCTCACCTCAAATTTATTTCTCTACATTATACTCGTTGAACAGTATCTTCGGATCCTAATCTTTCCGATTACTGCTAATCATTCTACTATCTCTTCTACCATTATGGGATTCGAATTGACTATTGCATCTTTGTGTGCTAATGTGGTGTGTCAACTATGCTGTTGCTGACTGGAGTTTATGCTGATGTTATTGTTCAGTAGAAGAACAACAATGAAAGCTTCACAACCAAAACATCCCCGGCTCACAGAACCAAACACCACCACCACCACCACAATCATTCACCTGAGCTACAAGTCTTCTCCGCTATCTCATGTGATGGAAGATCTCTAACCATCCGGTTACTGATGTCTCGTGGACCCATCCTACTAAGTCAGTCAGTCAGTCAGTTGCAACGTAGAACTTCGTACGTATGTACATAAGTTTCATGTTGCCATACCACATTATTAGCACAGAGACGCAAATGTCAAATCAAATCCCATTAGTGATAAAGATGGTAGAGGTATTAATGTTATAATAAAGAAGACTAGGGTTTAAGATATTATTCAAAAAATATAATTCAGTGAGATAAGGTTAGAAAGACAAACGTAGAGGTGCTGGCTAATCCAGAAGATTAGGATTTGAGAGAGCTCAAAGAGTGGATGCACCTGCGCCATTGCAAACGATTTTGAGCCATGTCGTTCAAGGTCTCTAACCATTGGTGACTTTCGTCTCGCGGACCCCAACCAGGTAGTCTACATCTACCAACATGACTCAGTCCACTTGTCAATGACTTCATGGATTTCTGCCATGTTTTGGTCTGGCCGCCCCTAGCTTTCTTCCAACCTACTCCTACACCACAAAACATAGCTCGTCGTAGCAGTCGGTGGTTAGGCATGCCTAGCACATATCTCAACCACCTCAACTGAAGAAGTTTCACTAGTTCATCTATTGATTTGCCATCCTTACCTAGTACTCGTTTCCTAACGACAGCATTGCTTACTCGGTTGTCCCACGATATACGAGCAATGCTTCTTAAACATCTATGATCGAATACTAGTAACCTACGAACATCTTCTACTCTTAACGGCCATGTTTCACAGCCATATAGGAGAACGGAACGAACTGCTGCGCAGTACACCCGCCCTTTGGTTAGCGAACGGATATCACGCCTACGCCATAAGTGACGCAGGTTGGCAAAAGCCAATCGAGCTTTCTGTATCCGAGCTGAGATTTCGTCAGTCACCAGACCATCAGCACTGGTGAGACTCCCCAGATAAGTGAAGCGATCAATCCACCCTAGTACTTCACTCCCTATCACTAGTTCAGGTGCCGATGAAACTCAATCTTGAAGCAACATTTCGCATTTCGAGGGGAAAACCGCATCCCGAACATGTTCGCATTGTTGCTTAGGGTGATTAGAAGACTCTGTATTTTGTCAGCATCTTCACCGAATAGAACTATGTCATCGGCATATTCTAGATCAGTAAGCGACTTTCCTGGTAGAAGGTCAACCCCTGAAAAATCTGACGAGCTTAATGTTAACTCTAAGAGGATGTCTACGACAAAGTTAAAATAGAATGGGAAGAGTGGACAGCCCTGACGGACACCACTTGAAGTGGAGAATTGCAATGACAGTTCGCCATAAGCTCTCACTCGGCCAGTGGTGTTCGAGTAGAGTGCTTGTATAAGGTTAATGTACTTCTTTGGTACACCTTTCAATGACAGACACTGCCACAGAACCTCACGATCCACTGAGTCGAATGCCGCTTTAAGGTCCAGGAACACGACTATTGTCGGACGTTTAAATGTGTGTCTGTGTTCCAGGACCTGTCGTAGTGTGAAATATATGGTCTATACAACCACGTCTAGGTCTGAAACCAGCCTGGTTTTCCCCAGTCTGCTCTTCACGGACTCTAATTGGGCGTCTAAGTATAATCGAGGCTAACAATTTAGAAACTATATTAGTTAAACTGATTCCCCTGTGATTGTCACAAGAGGACTTTTGTCCTTTCTTGTAAATTGCCTCCTACTAATTAGTCTATATTTAACAACATGACTCCATGAAACTGTCAGTGACTTTATGGATTTACGTCATGACTTGGTCTGGTCGCCCTTAGCTTTCTTTAAGCCTACCACCAAAACCCTAAAACACACCTCAGTTTTTTTTCTGCACAAGAAACGTTTTTTTCCTAACAACAGAAAAGGCAAAAATACAATCTCTTACACAAACGCCAAACAATCTTTTCAATATAAATGAAATGTATTACTTACAATTTGTTATATGTTTAGTAGGCCAACATCGAAACAATGTATCATCCATATATGGATGACATATAACAGCCATTAATTCATTCGATGATAAATTTGTTAACGTTTCAATAGTTTGATTTATTTTTTCCGTATTCTGTATATCAGTTAATTCAGGATTTGAAAAAGTCCTTTAGCAAAAAAAAGCGATTGAAGACGTATAAATTGATAAATAAATTTTAAAACGAATATTTAGAAAAGTGATTTTTTTGGAGACCGACTAGGTTTTGATAGTTGAAATCACGAACTAATCTATGTTACGGGGTTGTGAAGATTGTTAAGTTACACATTTTTTAAACCATGAACCGATCAATGTTAGACCACCATTAGAAGAAACCTCGAAGCACTGGACGATGGCCGTTTCGTCCTGGTATGGGACTACTCCTCAGCAGTGCGCATCCACGACTCCTGCACCCCGCAGGATTCGAACCCAGGACCTTCGGTATTGTGCGCGAACGCCCTAACCGTTGTTAGACCACTGAGCCGGTATCTAACGGTGTTAATGTCTAACTTGATCAAATTCACGGAGTTGCGCAACCTCATACACAGTCTTCGGTAGACACTGCCTACACCCGAACAGGTTGAACTTCACTGGTCACACAACTTCCCACTAGAACTCGGAGAACATTCCTCACGAAGCTAGTCACTAGTGAGCACAGGTGATTTGCATTACGGGCTTGTGATGATTGTTAAGTTACACATTTTTGAAACCATGTATGTTAGATCACACCCGATAGAAATGTTGAAGCATCGGATGGTTGTTTCGTCCCAGTATGGGACTTCTGACGTTCTAGGGAGAAGTAGTGAGTGACAAGTGAAGTTTAACCGGTATCTGGTAGCAGACAGTTATGCGCCGATAGCAATGGATGATGGTCGCGCAACTTCATAAAGTGATTAAAGCTAGACGTTAAAACCACTGGATACCGACTCAGTGGTCGAAAGATTAAGGCGTTCGTGGGTGGGACTGATGGTCACAGGTTCAATTTAAGAGAGTGACAGGGTGCGCACTGCTGAGGAGTCATATACTAGAACGAATCGGGAGTCTGGTGCTTCCAGCTTTCTAATGGTGATTTAGCTTAGGTCAGTTCGTGAATTTAACTACGAGAATATTTAGATTGCAAGAAATTCAAATAATAGAATGATTTAATCGAGTGAATTGATGAGGTGAATTAGTAGATGGAAACATAAGTAACTTCAAATTATAAACCATAAGCAAAGTAGAACTTAGTAGGAGTGTGTATAAGACCAGGTTATGAGACAAAATCAATATTGCTAAAAACGCTTATCAGTCCAGACAGTTTCCTACCCAATCAGCGCCTCATCGATTCTTGGGGAACAGGACAGACAATTCTCGTGTTGCTAGCTGCACGCTGATTGGCTAAATCTAATCCAGTCGATCACGTGAATTACAATCCAGAACTTCTCATGTAAATACTATATAGTAGATGTTCGTAGGTTACTAGTATTCGATCATAGATGTTTAAGAAGCATTGCTCGTATATCGTGGGACAACCGTATAAGCAATGCTATCGTTAGGAAACGAGTTCTAGGTAAGGATGGCAAATCAATAGATGAAGTAATGAAACTTCATCAGTTGAGGTGGTTGGGACATGTGTTACGTATGTCTAACCACCGACTGCCTCGACGAGCTATGTTTTACAGTGTAGGAGTAGGTTGGAAGAAAGTTAGGGGCGGTCAGACCAAAACTGGCACAAATCCATGAAGTCACTGACAAGTGGACTGCGTCATGTTGGTAGATGTAGACTACCTGGTTGGGGTCCGGAGACTAAAGTCATCGATGGTTAGAGACCTTGAACCACATGGCTCAAAACCGTTTGCAGTGGCGCAGGTGCATCCACTCTTTGAGCTCTCTCAAATCCTAATCATCTGGATTCGTCAGCCCCTCTACCTTTGTCTTTCTAACCTTATCTCACTGAATTATACTTCTTGAATAATATCTTCAAACCCTAGTCTTCTTCATTACCATTAATACCTGTACTATCTCTATCACTATGGGATTTGATTTGACATTTGCGTCTCTGTGCTAATAATGTGGTATGGCAACATGAACTTATGTACATACGTTCGAAGTTCTACGTTGCAACTGACTGACTGACTATATAGAAACCAACGTTGTATTTATTTCGCCTTCAGCTTCTTATTTCCGCGAGATGATAAAAATCGATGGTTAGAGACCCTGAATGACATGGCTCAAAATCGTTCGCAATGGCGCCGGTGGATTTATTCTCTGTGTTCTCTCAAATCCTAATCTTCTGGATTCTTCAACCCCTCTAGTTTCGACTTTCGAAACTTTTTTCACTGAATTATACTTCTTGAATAATATCTTCTAATCCTAACCGCTCCGATTACTTTCTAATACCTCTACCACCTACCTCTCCTACTATTGGATTTGAAATTGACAATTATATCTCTGTGCTGATGTGAACTGATGTACTTACGTGCGAAGTTCTACGTTGCATCTGAATGACTGATTGAATAAAACACGAATAGTGAAAGTTTAAAGACAATATTTTATCTGAAACACGCACACAAGTACATCAGTTCAGATTGCCATGCCCCATCAGCACAGAGACGTAACTGTCAGTTCAAATCCAAGAGTGATAGCAATAGTAGAATTATTAGCAGCAATGGAGAAGATTAGGGAGAGAGAAACCTCAGCTATATTCACGATATTATACATAATCGAAAGGTTAAGATATACTTATTCTCATAGAGAAATATATATATATATATATATATATATA